AAATTAGATTCTGTTTACTCTATGAGATAAACTAGTTTCATTTTGGACTGAGGTAAAGCACTCAGCCTTTGTTTATCTCTTGCCATTTAGCTGTACAAGGAAAATGTTTGGTTCCAAAGTGATTCCAATAAAAAACCCTTCTCTATCAAACCAAGCATTTAATCCTGACATGAATTGTATCATTGTGCTATATTACGTGGCATAAGCAGAATAATTAAACTATGAGATTGCTTATGCCTTAGTACATAGTAATTAAGCACTCCCTTGAAATCTATTTTGAGAAGGACTTTTGTCTTCCCAGGAAGTCTGAGGGACTACTTTTTCTTTTTTAATACTATAAATTTAGAATAATGCTACTGAAGTCAGAAGACATTGTATCAGACAAGTTGATATGTGCCAAGAGAGGGCCTTGGGACTGGCTCTCCCCTTTCTGTGTGCCTTACAGTTCAGCCATGGAATCATAGAATCATAGAATTGCCTGGATTGAAAGGGACTGAAAGATCTGATTTCAACATCCTTGCTGTGGATAGGGACACCTTTAACTAGACCTTATTGCTCAGAGCTCCATCCAGCCTGGCCTTGAACACTTCTAGGACGGGGCAGCCACAATTTCTGTGGGAAACCAATTCCAGGGCCTCACCACCCTCACAGTAGAGAATTTTTTTCTAATATCTGATCTAAACCTACTCTCAGTTTGAAGCCATTCCTTCTTGTCCTGTCGCTACATGCTCCTGTAAATTGTCTCTCCATTTTTCTTGTGGACTCCCTTCAGGTACTGAAAGGCCACAATTAAGTCACCCTACAGCGTTCTGTTCTCCAGGCTGAATAATTCCAGTTATCTCAACCTTTTCTCATAAAAGAGGTGCTCCATCCCTCTAATCAACTTGATGGCCTCCTCTGGACCTAAACTTGGATGCAGCACTGCAGGTGGGTCTCACCAGAGCAGAGTAGAGCAAAGAGGCAGAATCCTAACCCCTTGCCTGCTGCCTGCACTGCTTTGGATGCAGCCCAGGACACACTTGGCTTTCTGGGCTGTGAGTGCACATTGCTGGCTCATGTCCAGCCTCTCACCCGCCTGCTCCCCCAACTCCTTCTCAGCAGGGCTGCTCTCAATCTGTTCATCCCCCAGCCTGTGTTGATACCAGGGATTACCCTGACCCAGATGCAGCCCCTTGCACCTGGTTTTGTTAAACCTCATGAAGTTCCCAAGGGCCACTTCTCAAGCTTGTCCAGGTCCCTTTGAACGGTCCTGTTCTCCAGGTGTGTCAACAGCACCACTCAGCTTGGAGTCATCTACAGATTTGTATACTTGGTGAAACTGTACAGCAGTATGTTGCAATGGCAACATGCACTTTCCTCACATGTGAATGATGATACAAGGTCCGAGGATATCAGAATTACAACTTGTCATGGTTTGAGATAGCCCCAAAATCCAATTCCCTAGCTCCACTCCCCCCTCCCACATCTCAACCCAATGTGAGATGGGTTTTTCCAGACAAAACACAACCAGACTCAGAATGGGGGAAAGGGAATATATTACAATGACTGTACAAATAAATACTATAACACATTATACACATGATCACAACTATCTCTACCATGACATATAGTATTTACAATGGATCAGATCTCTTCTCCCCTCCAAATAAAAGTCCAGGAGGGAAAGAAGGACAGATCCCTTCCAGTCTCTCAGGGCAGCAGCTTCTTCAGAGTAGCAGAAGCAGTCTATCTCTTTCTCTCATGCATGCAGCTGTTGCTGGATCTCTGCCAGCTCCCTCGGCCCCGTCGCCAACCAACCGAGGGGTCTTCCGTGGGCTTCGTTACCCCAGACAAGGTCGTCTCACCACGTCATATCACGAAGACGCAGGGGGTCTTCGTGACGGTCTGGTATCTCCAGGAGATTCAAGCTCCTTGCAGAGCCTCTGTGCCCTGTCTCAGGCTGCGAGCTTCTTTGTAGCTTGCAGCAGGGGAGGGCCTCAAGGTCAACCTCCCACACCGTGCTGGCTCAGCTCTCAGGACGACTGAGCTCCTCAGCTCTCTCTCTCTCTCTCTGGTGCTGCATGTCTCTGTTGCTCCGTCTTATCTCTTCTGGCTCTCTGCCACCGCTTCTCCGGTCAGTGCCGGCTGCTACCTTCTCTGGCCGCTGCCCAGTTTGGAGAAAACATCTCCCAGCTCACAGCTACAGACACATAGTCCAGATTAACACTGTTCCAAGTCTCTGTAGCCCTCAACTGGGGCTGGGGGGCCCCAGAGGCCCCGAGGGGCTCCGGGCCCCTTTCCTCGTGGCTCCTACAACATGGCTACTTCTACCACTACCCAAACTACAACTCATCTCTTCTGGTCTGGTTGTGGTATGTTTACATTTCTGCAGGAGCGCACATTGGACAGAACTTCAAAACTTCCAGGGGTTTCCACCCCTTGGGGGTTACCACTTTTCTTAGCCTCTGGGGGAAAACAAGGTTCAAACCACTACACAGCTCAACTTTATCATAGGCTGTGTCAAAGGAACTGATTTCCTGTTTAAACAACCTGAAATTTATTAGCTGAAATGTACAAGAAGATTCATAAATGATGTGCTGAAGCTGTTGGAGTTCTCTTAGCTAATCTCAGATGTGCTAACTAAAATGGAAGAGATGCATAAGACATTTCAGAAGGATTTGCTATCTTTGGCACAGGATAGAGATAATAAGGCTGGAATCCTTCTGGTATCCAAGTTGGTATCTTAGGGTTGAAACTGATCGTGTCTGTAGACAATCTGTCTCATTCACAAGCAGCACAGGTCTCTCCAAGTAATCAAAACTCTGAAGTTCAACTGTGTTTGGGGAGAGAAATGCTACCAACATTTTCTATTTTTTTCTCCTAGAAACAATTTTCGATATCAACGCTAAACCAGGATGTGAGGTGTTAAACTCCCATGGATGTTTTAATAGCACACAAAAGATCTTCTCTTCTTTTGTTGCTTGCTACTGCTCACAGTCTACATGCACACCTGATTTAATGGTACTGTAAAGGTTGAATAGTTACATGTTTCACAAATAGCACATTAAGCTACAGTTCTGGGGGAGAAATAGCCAAAAACAAACAATCCTTTTCAGAATAAATCTTCAACCCCTATAGTAAAAAAAATATAAAACTGAGACAAAGATAGATTTTGTGTCCTAAAAATATATGCACCATGTTAAATACTTAGAGTAGGAATTGTATCACAAAGCCTACCCAAATTAGAGCAGCTACTCTGATTTTGCTGAATGTCTTTGGCTACGTGTTCAGGTTCCCAAAGAAGAAATAACAATAACACACTGTGATGAGGATGTCATATGTGGAAATAAAAAGCCCTTCAGACACAAGTGAGATAATATTATACAGGTTTGAATTTGTCAAGATAATATTACACAGTTTTGAATTTGTCTCATAAATTGAGACAAATTGTGTTCTTTTGAGGTTTTTTGTGGGGTTTTTAGGGTCTTTTTTGGTTGGTTGGTTGATGGGGTTTTAATTTTAATTTTTTTATGATGCGCATATAACAAGGAAAATGTTATTTGGTGCCTCTTCTTTTATTAATAATTTGTGAAGACTGTCAGAGGTGACTTTTTAAATTATTTTTGCATTGTACAGTGACTTGCTAATTGCCCACCATAGATACCTGCAGAATGTGGGTACGTGATGAGAGCCATTATTGAAGCATCCTTACAAGGGAGGAAAAAGGAAAACACTGGAAAACCATTTTTGTTTCTCATGGAACTGCAGACATCTGACAAGAGTTATCTGGCTCTTTATTGCATATAACTGATACTTTTTACACCACAAAAGGGTTTTCAGAAACCAGTATCAGCTACTCAGTCTCTTGTCTACCATGTAAGAACAAAAGCTTAAATTAGAATGAGCAAACAGAAGCCACAAAAAACTAGCTTCAGTTATTATCCATACCTTAACTAACAACTTAGCTTGCAGTTCTGATTCTATTTTGGCTCATGCTGGATGAGTTCCAGTGACTTTGTGTATACTGACATCTGATTGATACTGGTAACAGTGATAGCACCAGCAGGAACAAAGTTTTTCTATATAATTTTACAGTAACTTTGACCAAATGATTTTTTTGAGAATATTGCACAGATACCACAGCTTCTTTCTGCTTGTAAATATGTGTTTGGGTTTATTTCAGCAGAAAATAAGAGTCATAGAAGTCAAAACCAGAAAGGACACTGGACTGTACTTCTATGCTTGTCTTCCATATGTTACACATGCATCTGCAGCATGCCCCAAAAATTATCTGCATTTTATTCCCGAGTAAAAATAAATCTGAAATGCATTCCAGGATGAGAACAGGAGAAACCAAGATGCCATTTATCCCCCAGGCCTCTGTAAAAGTAGAAACCTAATTAGGCAACACAGACTTAGCGGAGCTCAGGAGGAAAACCAAATTTATTTTATTGTAGAGGCAAAAAGAAATCTTCAAGTCCCTATCAGTCATCAGGCAGCAAATCTCAGACTCTTCTACACTTTTATAGGAGCCTTCAAAATATTCAAATTTCCTAATGATGTAGCAGTGGAGCAGACATATTCTTGCCACTTGATAAGTACATGAAGGAGCTCTGGACTCCATTCAATACCTGACATTTTTTATGAAGAGACTGTTACGTACAGAGAAGATTACTGAGCTCTATTACCATTTTGAGAGTGTACCTATGTTGGATATGTTTTTGTGTGAAGACGCTAGTGATGGCTGCTTTAGAAATGTATGAAAAAATAAAATAAAACAATTCTGGTAGTGCCTTTTGGGGAAACTTAATTTCAAAGCTTGTGTGATGATATAAGGCACAAAGTTGAAAGGCTAGTGATTGTCATCACTGGAAAAGCATAGAGAAAATGATCTAATGAAGTATTTTTCACCTTTAGTTTCTATTGTCTTGTATAAAAGTATATTTGTTTCTCTAAGGAAAGCAGAGGTTTTCCACACATGAAAGTAATTTTACAGTACAAAAATATATTCAGTGCTTCCATGCATACACATTCCCTGAATACACATTTTCCACAACTTATTTTCAATTGACAACCTTCAAAATTTCTCTGATTCTTAGACATCTACAAGACTTGTAAGTAACTTTGTTAAAGGCAACTACATTTCCAGATTCAAAAACATTTTGTGGGGCCATTTTTTTGCCTTTCCTTTCAGAGTTGCTCAGACTGAGACAGGTTTTCAAAATCTTTCCTCAGGGCAGTTTCCCCCTAGATGACTCTTCCATTCTCTTTCAAGCTCTAAGCAATGTATATTGCTCTAAGTAATCTCTTCAAGCAAATCACAAAAGCAAGGCACAAACGTTTCCCGGATAAGCACAGATTACTCTGTTGCATGGTATTACCTATTTTGTTTATGCTTTAAAAAAATTAGTTTAAATAAAATACATTAATTCCCCAAATATTTACCTTTCATGGAAGCAATAAAAAAATTTTGCACTTTTCTGTGTTTAAACCTCAGAGGTGTGTTCCACTAAAATCCTGTTTGGTATAAAAAGAAGAATTAACTTTTGCTGCAGGTGTTTTCATGGTTAGTAGGCTACGTATTAACCAAAAAATAAAGACATTCCCATTCATTCACATATCTGAGTCAAAAATAAAGTCTACTGTGGGAGGTGGAGGCACTGCTATATATGTTTTGACCTGCAGCTGGAGTGCTCATCTAGGGTTAATACTAGAAGAAATCTCCATTTGAGAGTAGCAAAAATTGAAAATATAATGAATGGAAAGCCCTGTTTGTAACACTGATACTGAAATTTTGGTAAGTCATGATTTTGTTCCCAGTAGAGAACCTTTCTTGTAACTCAGACCTTTCGAGTAATTGAGACCTGAAGGTACCTTTCTCTAGTACCAATTCAACTGTACTAATTGTGCTTATGGCAATGTTGCCTACATCAGTTTGAGGTCTCCCTTTTCTTTTGTCTGGGATGCTTCAAAATGCCTCCTGGCACTGCTCTTTGACATACCTTTGCTGAAGCTGAGTTCTTCTTTTGTCTTCTCAAATGGACTACTGCTGAGCAAACAGACAGCTCTTTCTCTCTCTCACTTGCTTTCATGTGTGACAGGAAAGCAGTCACCCAGATGACAGATTTAGTTTTATCTTCTGCTGAGTGACAATATCAGATTTATAATTAATTTTAATTTTTTCCACAGGGAAAGAAATAATCTGATACTTTCTTTTCCTCATAGGGCAAAACCAATTAGCTTTCTTATAAAATTACAATTGGAAAAGAAAATGTTTTTCCCTTCAATAGTGATGAAGTCAAAGCAAGCATGCAGTGGGTAATGCAGCTCGAGTGGTTATGCATTTTGTTGAATATTTTAAGAATGTCTTCTCCTGTTCCCAGTGTAGCAGGAAAACCTGAATGAAAGGCAACTTTCTTCAATAACAAGTGGCTTTAAAGGGGAAAAAGGCAGAAATAGTACTATGCACATATTTGTAAAGACATCCATACAGTGCATCTACATCCTCTAGACTTGCTTCATTTAATATCTGAACTCTGTTTCAAATTCTGTTTCTGCTCTTTGTCCATGTAGTCTTTCTATCCACTATTTACTTCATAAGAATTTGAGTGTCTATGCATTGCTGGATAACTGAAGAGCTATTGAAACATTTCAAAGCACAACACCCAGCAGAAGGACATAGTTTTCTCAAAACAAGTTGTGGACAAAACAAAAATAGCAGGAAAAGAGGAAAATACCTTTGAGTTAAAGCAAAAAACAAAGAATACACAAACACTTGAACAGATGAGACACAGGTTAGGAGTGTTAAACTTCGACTTTTTGAAATAATAATAGATCTTTCTAGGTTGATGTCATGACAAGGTGAAATAGTGTTGAGACAGTTGGATCCTAAGTGTCAGCATCAGCTCAGATACATTTAGGAAGCTGTGCAAACAAGGATATTCACCTTCAATATGATGCTATATTCATATTCTCACCATACATCATGCAAATAGGAGTTCAAGCACATAATGGGGGGATGTATTTTTCACAGATTTTCTATGGGATATTGCCCCAATATATATAGAAAAAATTGTCTCAAAAATATCCTGAAGATCTCCTGAAGAGCCTCTGGTGATTAAGAACCATATTTAATTGACCGTGATTCATTACTTCATTTAGATTACCTGTGGAGTAGCCCACTATCCACAGTCTATATAAAACCATCACAATGTTGCTGTTGTGGGTCGAAAGCATTTGAATACATTTGAAGAGGCTTCAGACAAGTACTCAAGTGTTTTACCAAAATTCAAAGGAAGCTATGAAGAATTTGCAATTTGCATATCATTGGTAACTGGGTTTTATTTTATAACCCACACATCCACCTCTTATTTCAAAGCTGCAGATGCTCCACATTTAGCTCAAACCATTTTGTATGACATTTTCTAGATGATATGCCAGAAGAAGAATCAAGGCCTACAATAGGTACTCACAAAAGCATATTTCCCTCTGAGATTGAAAGTGGCAATTTGCATTTCACATAAAGTGAAAATATGTCCAAGGTCAAAAGGGACTTCTTATACACTTCAGGCAGCCTGAAGTAAAGAATGTTGGAGGCTAAGCAGAAGAGAGAATGACACAATGTCAATTACAAAGACAAAACAGAAAGTAGAAAATACTTTAGAATTTGTTTTATCCCAACAATATCAATGTTCCTGGGAATATTTGAAGACAAAATCAATAAGCTTTGGCATTAGTTCTAAACTAGCACTTTTTTCTCGTAGAGGAATCTATTTAATTATAAACTAAAGTAGGGAGTTCTTGCTCTTATAAAAGGTATCATTCATGAAAAAGCCTTATTTGTACTTTACATAATACATGGAACCTGTGTAGTACAACTGTCAAAGTATTCTTCAAAGATCCATTATTACTTATCCATGCCTGGAAAAAGGAAACTATGAGGAGACAAATCCTGGCTTACATACTCAGAAATTAAGGCTAGTTGTGGGTTCCTACAGAGTCTGTTCAGCCAGAAGTTCTGCACCTTCTGCTCAGAACACTTTTACTTGCTCTACCTTTACTACTGGGTTTGCTGATTTTAGGCTGAAAATTACCACATTGCATTTCAAATCCACCTCTTTACATTTGGTCTCAGTGCAGAAAAATGGTCCAATTCCTTCCATAGTCCTTGGCAGACAAGCACATGGTTCCTGATTCCTTTGATCTCTTGCCTCAGGATCCCACCCAAGACATTTAGGCAAAGACAGCACTGAGGCTGTACTACAGTATTATGTCCTGGCTCTGATTCGAGGCTGAAGTTCACCGTGAATCCTCAAAATGTTGTATTCATCCAGGCTGGATATTAGCCTAGTTGATTTAAAACAAATAAACAAACAAACAAACAACCTAAAAACCAACAGAATCACTGTAACATGGTCCTCTCTGTCATGGAGCACTGTCAGCTTTTGAAAGTTTCTTTCATTGAAACTGTTTGTAACGTGTAAAGAAAATAACTAGTGACACAATTGATTCCTATTCACTATTTTCTCCCCACTTTTTTCTCCAAATCCAAACACAGTTTCTGTAGATTGCATGGCATGACATGCTCATCACATGCTTTTATATTATCCATATGGGCAAGTTCTTCCTTGCTTCAGAAAGGAGTCACAATTTATTTAATCAGAAAAATTTTGAAATCTGACAAGGCTGTATAAAACCAGTATAGTCTGACTTCTTCAGGCAACTTCTTACAGACTGTTGCCCTTGTAGAGACTTTAAAAAAAACCACAAACTAGCACAAAATCTTTCAAAATCAGGTACTAGTTTCCCTGTTACTACACTGCACTCTTTTAACAGAGATGACATCAGTCCAGTGGTGATTACTGTGCCTCCTAATGATGATGCTATCACAAAGCCATAAAATATGTGGAACATTTTTGCAGAAAAGCACCTGAAGATGCTAAACATTACCATTGCTCCTATCAAATCCTAGGGCATTAACAGAGCATTTTAAATTACATTGTCATAAACAATACTCTAATGATAGAAACCAATCTGTTCACAGCTTCCTGGAACAGTAAGAGCAAGACTTCCTTTGTTGATTTAAACTATCACAATATTAATTTTCAAAGCAAAAGTATCATAATATTAATTTTCAAAAGAAAAAATCCAGCCCAGTAACACTAAAGACTTTATATTATTAACTCTACATACAGATTTTTCTTTGAAATTATGGTCTTTCAAATGTGGTTGTTAGAAGACAGTTCAAGTGCTCAGTGCAAATCTTTGAGCTCTGCAAAACTGCTTTAACCTGCTTGGCAGGTTAGGCAGGTTCATTCATAGGAACACGATTTGCCAGAAAGCACTTTTTTCAAAACAAGTCTCAGCTCCTGCATCTGACAGTTTCTTTCTGCTTCTCGCATTCTAGCCTGCCACTGTTGAACTTTCTTTTTATTGCTTCTCTGTTATAATTTGTTTCTTACACGCTCATCCCAAATATACTTCCCCTCTAAAAACATGATCTCCAGTGACAATTTCATACACTTTGTTTTAAAATCTTAGGGTTTTTATACCCAGAAATTTATTAGACAGGTAACATTTATGAAAGTGTTGTGTGTAACTGACATTCATGGAAGGTAGTTTAAGCTGTCATGGGAAATTATGCAAAAGGTTAACATTTGTTATATTTGAAGAAAAGTTCTGGGAAAGAAAACCAAGGGGATTAAAAATATTTTCCTTTTGGAAGCATCTAAAAGTTTTAATTTGGAATTTTCAAACTGGAAGAACTTTTCAAGTGTCTCATGTCTATTGTTATTGTCATTGCTAAACAAGATGCAGATGTTATTCATCTGCCAAAAATATAGCTGACTTTTTTTTATTTCCTGATTTTCTATCTCAGCAGACTTAACTAGAACAGTGGCTGAAATCTAGAAAACTTAGAAGGTTTCTACCAGGTTTCCTCCCAGTGGCTCTAAAATACATTTCTTTTCTGTGATCTTATTGACAGGAAAGCAAATGTTAATACAACTCAGTTAAAATGAAAATCTTTCCTGTTCAAATAAGTATCAGAGACCATTCAAGATAAGTCTCTCTATAACATCAACTAGCGAACATAAGTGGATCTTTCTCTTTCTTAATAAGGATGAAAAATTTTGGCTGCTTATATTTAGGTAACTAAGTGGATAGATTTTCAAAATTCCTAAGCATTCAATTTTCACAAGGATGAAAATGGTAAGGAACTGGATATTTTATAACCCTCCTCTAAAATCTTGTATTTTTGATTTTTAAAGTTGCAAATTTCTCTTCTAAAAAATTCACTATTAAGGAGAATCAAAAGATGTCTCTCATTTTACAAGCAGATAATTAGCTAAAAAATATTGGGAGTGTGTATCCCAGCTATGCATCTATCAATGCTAGATTACAGTTGGCCTGGCTGAGCACCTGGTACCATGTGAAGATAAACAGGTTAGCTAAGAACAAATCTCTCTGCACACCAGAGGTGTTATAAGGTCACACTCTTTCAGCACTTTACTGTGGCTTCTGTAAAGTTAATTCGATGCAGGAGAATATAATGAACTTTGGAGTAAAGCTAGATGACTTTACCAGCAACTAACTACAGGTGGATGGGTGTACTTCTCTGTAAACTTCTATAACAACTAAGTGAGAAGACCTCCAGTCTGGCCTCTAGAGAGAACTTTAGGCAAGGGGCAAAGCAAATGAGAATGAACTATTAGTCAGACATGAATTCTTGTGTCTTTTGGCTAGTCTTGTGTGAACAAGAGAAAATATTTTGTGCCTTCAACGGCTATTCATAAATTCAGTAGAAGCCATGGGAGAAGAGCGAGCATTAAATCAAGGAAAAATAATGAGGAGAAATAGGAAACACATGGGCAAACATACACACACAGACACTCTATGAAGCACCTAGGTTAAAAAGTTCCATATATCTCTGTATGAGTGTTTTGCTTTTGGCATGAATATTCTCAAAAGTTTTACATAGTCCAGACTCTATCCTGTATGTAATATTTGTGTGGCATTATTAGTCAACTAAAAATACTTTCATTTTTTTTAGTGTAGTTGAGCCTATACTTTTCAAAACTATATTGTGTAAAAATCAGCCTACAGAAACACTTTGTAGTTATGAATTTTCAGAGGAACCTATCACTGCACAAAAGACATTGACAAACACAAATAAGCCCTTTATAATGATGCAGAATGCAGTATGATGCAGTGGAGCAATCCTTTCCAGTATCTGGGGAGAATTCTGACACATAAAAAGCAGTGTGTTTTTTTGTTTTTCTTGTTGCTTAGAGTCATCCCTCTAATGAATTGTCTACTGAGGAAAAGGCACTGCTGCTGTCTTCCTTTCTTGAAGGCTCTACTGAGAAAAGAGCAGCTTCAGAGTAAATTGAGCTCTTGCAGGAGCCTGACCACCAGAGGCTGCTGAAGACAGCACTAGTCAGCCCAGGTTATATTTCACTACCAAGGTAAATGCTGGTTTTAGGACACTGGACATTGCATCCATCATATTTCCATACATTTTTTTAGCTGTAGCTTGAATTCAATGCATATTATGCATATGAGTCATGTTGTGCATAAGAGCTGAGATCAGGGTGTGTACTGATCAACTGGCCTCATGTCTTCCTAATCTCACCTATGTCTAAATCATGGGAACTGGAGACCAAGTACCTGTTCAGTACCTGCTGACATTTAGCTTCTCTGGAGACTGGGCTAAGTTTGGCCTGGTCTTTATACAGAGATTGTGAAAGTGATCAGAGCTACGTGTTGCAGAGAAGAAAGGCAGTCTCCTAACCCCTTCTCCTCAGTCTGTCTGCTGATATCGAAGTGTGCCCAGCCCCACAGCATGTTCAACATTTCTAGGAATTTCTGTCACGATGCCCATGCCACCATTTCATGGACTTGTGGTGGAACTTGGGTTGGTTACTCTGCCAGCCATAATGCCTTTAACAGTCAGGTCATTTCCTTTCAGCCCTGAAATATGTTACAATATGTAGGTCAAATGACACCAAGAGATTTAACTCAGATAACACTTTACTTATGTACTATTGATTGTAACTTAGCCCTGTTTTAAATCAGTGCAGACTCTGTATAGCAATATATTTTCTAAACATAGATAATGCAGAAGATTTTAGGAAAAAAAATTCCACACCTCTCCTTACAGGAGCAGCTACTCTACATTTCCTGTTACATAGGTGCTGCTTGGGTGACACACAATCCATGCGAACCCCTACATGCATTCAATCCTTTTGTTTAACAACTCACCTATTGCTGTATATCATACAGATTATTTTATAGCCCTCAAGGCATGAGGCGCATAAATTACTGAGTGACTGCAGTACTACTTGCTGAGACACAATTGCTGGCTGACTGTAACTGTGTCAGACAGACAACACCATTTCCTCTGAATTCCTTTAGGGGGTTCTCCCAACAAAGGAAAATTATTTTGAAGTTTTGTTTTTACCTCTTTGCTGGCAAGAAACTTGTAATGAAACCCATGCTGTTAATCCCTGTTAGAGCTGGAGCCTGCAAGCTTTGAGCCAACCCAGTTTATAAGGTGGATGAACTCTGCTGAATAAACTAAATATGCTCAAGTATATGCACACCTGCAATAGATTAGCCATTTTATGGTAATTGCTCTATCAACTACTCTAAATCTTTTCCAAGCAAGACAGTTTAAAGTTATTTCTCCTTCAAAATTGATGTAATTAGTGTGCACGGATTCAAAACTTGATCTTTTAAGTAGGCAACTTACCTAACCCCTAATTTTCAGATAGAGGTGTCTGCCCAGATACCCAGATTTCTCTTTTTTTTTTATTTTTTCTGAGCGTCTGTGACTCCCCCCATGTGGTTGAGAAAATATTCAGGCCATCTGAATACTGCCCATGTTTTCAAAGAAAGTTCTGCCATAAATCCCCAAAGACATTATATGGCTGGTTCTCCAAGCAGCCCTCTAACAATGTTTTCCATTATTCTCTTCATACTCATGCTTCTACTTCTATACATAAACATCTGATTGCAATTGGGTATTGTTTTGGAAATACATTTTCCTCTAAACCATTTTTTAAAAAAGTAAAAATAGCAAATGATATTCCGTAAATTTGTGCTATCCAGCCCAAAATCTTACCTGACCAAAAAAAAAAAGAAATCACAAAATTAGCTGTGATCTATAATATCACTCGTGTTGCTTGTCTGCCTTGCAACCATGAGCTATGATTTAGAGTTGCATGTCTGAAAATACAAAAGAGAACACAAACTACAACATTAAAAAAAAAAAAAAAGAAAAACATGGAAAACATTATTTGAATTCTTTGTTCAGCTGTTCTCCCATCAGCAGTTTTCCTTTCAACCCTATGATCCGTTGTCATTTCTCATAGTACGTGTCTAATTCACCCAAACTACAGCCTCCAGAAAAAGCTGGTCAAGAAATTTCCAAGTGAACAGTTTTTCACTGAAAAATATAGAAACACTGGACCCAGAAGGTTTCACAGAGTCACTTCATTTTCAACAAACTTCCAAAAGATGCCTGCCTGCTTTCTGCCATCTCAGCGTTTGGGTCCTTAGGGCTGCAGAGAAGCCTGGCCATGCAGATGAGCTCGCAGCTGGGGTCTCTGGGGAATTCAAGCTCCCAAAGTCAAGAGCCCCAGGATCCTCCATCTCTACCTGAGGTGTTTATTTCAGATGACTGATTTTGCAGGAGGGAGAAAACAGTCTGCAGTCCTGAAAGCTGGAATTTAAGATGTCCTGTCAGGGCTTTCCACCACCCCACCCCACACTCTGATGTCAATTTTATACTCGTAGAGTCCCTGGGGGACATGTTCAGTCAAGGGTCTGCCAACTGTTGAGACTGTATTTTTTATGTGTTGCTCAGTCCTGTTTTCCTGTATTCAAGCCAGAATAGTTTCCTTCTGTGGAAAAGTTCGATTCGTCTTTTTTTTTTTTTTTCTGAGTCTTTCTTGTGACATCAGAACTTCCTTGGAGAAGGAAATCCTATGCTTTGAAATGCTATCCTCCAGAGATATTGGGAAAAGCCCTTCCAGAAGTCTGGCATTCAGAGAATAAGATGTTACACCATGACAGGTACAGGCAGACTTCCTCATCTGAGTTATAGCAAAAGTGTTCTAAGTCACAACCATTCTCATTGCTTTAAAAAGGGATGAATATATTTCTCCAAACGGTCTTTCTCAGTTAATACTTTCCCTAGGTACTCACATCACAGAGTCAACTGTGTGACCGCCTTAATCATTCAAGAGACATAAATAAGTAGATTCAATCACAAGACAAATGTCTTTCTGCTGTACCGCAAAGCTGCATGCAGATATATTAAATCCATGAATCTGGAAGAGTAGATATTGGTGTCTGTGGCCAAATGTCTGTACACTCAGATTAGGAACCTGGATGTACAAAGAGATCAGATAACAAATAATTCTTCAATTTGTTCATACAAATGCCATTTCCATAAAACAAATATGAGGAGCTTAATTATATTGCAGGGTCCACTATATCCCAAGAAAATGGTCCTGTAATGCCGATAAGCTATAAATCTTGCTTTTAATGCTTTTAATGTTGTTCAGAATCAGCAAAACATAAGTTTCCATTAATTATCTTGAAATCAGATGCACACACACGTGGACACACACGCAGACACACACACAGGTATTTGACAGGTACAGACACACACATTTGACAGGTATGCTGATTTTAGCAAAACTAGGCCATGTCCTTCCTATCTGGTTCACATTTTTCTGCATTACAAATTCTTATTCTGTTGTTATAGAAGAATTGGCACTGAATGAATGAATGCTTGTTCACAGGAAATAAGCAGTAAGCAGTGATGTTCAAAAACACGGCAGTAAAAATTTTTAGAGCTAAAAATGCCACTCAGCCCACTTTCATTTCATTATTTATTATTAAAATAATAACAAAATTTTTTTTCTTATGTTTTGAGGAAAATCTCCAAATACTTGTGTCAATAAATTGTAAATATCAGAAAGTATTTCTTTTAAAAAAGTGAAGAGGAGTTATAGCCTATTTTCTGTCCAAGACTAACTATAAATTTGCAAGTGGTAACTGAATAATCCAAATGTTCATTAAGAAACTATTTTTGCGTGTGACCAAATAGCAACTTATTTCAAATTTAAAACAATATTTAATATTTTTAATATATAATTATATGATAATGATTCCATTCATACCTATTTCATGTACAGTGAATAGTATGCTTCCAGTATTTATGCATAGGTAAGCAGTGCTCTGGGTAAGATGCAAATATGGAGCTATAGTCAGATGGTAATTCATCAGACCCTTCTGGCAAGTAATCTAATCTTGTATGACAGCTATTGTTTGCATGGATAACTATGATGACTGGGCCAGACTCCTCTCTCAGCAGTCTCAGTGGATGTCTAATGTGTTCCATTTATAATTTTTAGGTAGATTAATTGCAAATTACATAGCACCATGCATTTAGGAATCGAACAGACAGCATGGAAGCAAGCTGCACTGCTAGTGCTGCTCTTTCCTAGCTTTCTGGCAGCTGGTAAGCTTCTTACCCTCTAAGCTCCCCTAAGTGGTTTTTGTTTGGTTTGATTTGGTTTGGGTTTTTTCTGTTTACATGATAAACTCTATTAATGTCTTTTAAAGGCTTCATCTGGATCTTGTACTACTTCTCTTCCCAAACTTCAAAGGGAATTTCCCTCCAATGTCTATTGTTTTACTGAGACTAACTTTACCAAAACACTAATTAACCATCACAGTAAACTTAATCAACTGGTTCCTCTATTTTTAAACAATATGATAAGCAAAAAGGGAGAAAATTCATCAAGTATGACCTTCTTGAATATGTTAGATGTCCTGTCACAAAATATTTCCAAAAAAGAGTAAATCAATTGTCCTCCCTATTGTATTTGAAACTATTGTTCAACTACTCTCCAGAATCAAGGAATCTAACAAATTTGAGAGCAACATATACCACTCTAGTTCAGGATGTTGTTGTGTCCAATCATAGCCAATAGATGTCTAGAGAAGAGAACAATCATGAATCAGTTCTCCTAATACCCTAAAAAATTGCAGTTAGGTAATTCATTAATAAATAGGATATCCCTCTATTAATAATGAATTACTAATTTCTGTTTGACAAACTTTTCCAGTTTTCCCTTGAGTCAAACATGTGCAGCTCCAGAGATTAACGATGTACTCTGAGGAGAACCACCTCTTCCTAATTGTTTTAGATCTAGTGCATGATAAAATCACCAATTTTGGCAGGTTCTTGTACAAAAAATAAGCAAACTAATAATAACTACCTGAGAGGAGGTTGTAGCTAGGTGGGGGTTGGTCTCTTCTCCCAGGCAATCAGCAGTAGGACAAGAGGGCATGGCCTTAAGCTGCGCCAGGGGAGGTTTAGGTTAGATATTAGAAAGAAATTCTTTACAGAGAGTGTAATCAGCCATTGGAATGGGCTGCCCAGGGAAGTGGTGGGTTCTCCATCCCTGGAGGTTTTTAAGATGAGACTGTACGTGGCACTTAGTACCATGGTCTAGCAACTGTGGTGGTCCAAGGGTTGGACTTGATGATCTCAGAGGTCCTTTCCAACCCATCTGATTCTATGATTCTATGATTCTATGAAAAGAAACTCCCAAATCATAATGCATCTATGTTAGCCACCATTCCATTTATGATTTGATATATTTGTTTTAAAATATCCTTAGTTATCCTTTTTCTTCCTCTCCCAAAGGAAGATCTTTCCTCAATTCTTATCACTTCCCTTACAGAAGCAATTCCACACCTTTGGGTCTTCTGTAGATTCTTTGTATAGTTATTTTCATTTATTTTCCCACTTCTTAGAAGGGGGAACAGATACCATGGAGAGTTTTCAAGGCATGGATGTGCTACAGCTTTATAAACTCATGTGACAATGATCTGCCCATTTTTTTCCTAATAATTCCCTACATACTGTTTGTCCTCCTCTGTTTGTCATTTGGAAACATAATTTGCCATTTTATTACCTGTTCCCTGCACAGATCTTCACCGTCAGCCTTTGTATTTACTTCATTACTATCGACATTAACTTTGTCCCCTTCCTGTTCATCCGTTTTCCCTGACCATTTATGGACAAAGTTGACCCAGTGCACATACTGTGAGACTCTACTGCCAACCTTATCCCCTTGAGAATACTGACCATTTATTCCAACTCTCTGCTTTCCATCTTCTGAGTCAGTTATTTAAAAATGCAATGGCCTTCCCCTTTATGGCACAACAGCTGAATTGCTCTAAGACCCTTTGAGAAGGGACTTTGTCAAACAACTTTCAGAAATCCAAGCAGAGCATATCAACTTGGCATGCCCATCCCTTGTGCATGTGTTTACAGTCTTCTTCAAAGAACTACAGTAGGTTTTTAAACCAAATCTGCTTAACTCTTCCTTAATGTCTACTATTTATTCATATGAATAACAGGGGTTTTTTTTTTCAGAAGATTGCCCAGCAATGTGTTTCATACAATTAGTCTGTCATTATCATGACATCTCCTGGAACCTTCCTCAAAAACTGGTATTGCACTAATCATCTTCTAATTCTGTGATACTAATGCAGCTTTAATCATGAGACTACATATTAGAGCTCACTAGCTCAGCTATTTGGGTTTTGAGCTTCCTTAAACTCTTACCAAATTTGCATGATTTTTTACTACATATTTTCATGACTTATTCGATGCTGGTTTTTATATCAATTCAGTTTGAAACCATTTGAAACCCCAATACATCTGCACAAAACAAACAAACAAATAAACAAAAACAAAAGCACAAACAAACAATAAACAAAAAACAAAACCACAAACAAACAAACAAACCAAAACAAAAAAAAAAAAAAAAAAGAAAAAAAGGGTTCTGGAGCAGAAACAAAAGTCTTTCAAGATGAAACAGGGGTGTAAAAAATTAATTTCACTTTTCTGCTATCCTGGTCTTTTGCTGTTATATTTCATCTGCATTTGGCTATACAGAGTGTCTGGTCTATTTCCTACTCCCAAAGTGTAAGAAAAATATTTTTTTTTATTAGTTTTTTTGCCTTTTTTTGTCACATTGGACCCCCTAAACCTTTTTTCATTTTTTTTTTCATTTTTTTTTTTTATTAATAGAGGAGGCAGACATTATTGTGATGGCTTCACAGCCTGAGTGCAGCTTCTGATAAAATCCCCTTGAGTCTAAGTGTTTTCAAAGCTGTGCTACTAAAAGCTTCTTGCCATTGGAAATACATAAAACCACAAAAAAAAAGAACCCTCAAGACACAAGAACTTATCTTGATCAAGTGTCACTCTGGATTACATTTTGAAAGGATATCAAGTGATGCCTCTGGATTTTTAGAATTTTTAGCTTTTTGTAAATTTTAGAAGTAGTTATGTGGTAAATGCAGATTTTAGCGTAGCTGTATAATTTGTCACACTTTAGAACAGTAGTTAACACATGCTAAATCCTTTCTCCCTCTTTCATATGGAATTTTCTAAATTCTTTAGCTTGTTTAGGCTTCTCTCAAGGAAGGTCTTCATTCTGTTTAAGAACGTTTGCACCCTAGGCTGAACAACAAGATCCATCATAGACAAAACAACCTTCAAGCCCTTAACCTTGGAGGAGCTCCAAAGGACTGTACATGCCATGAAGAAGAGGAAGATGAGGGAGGACAGGGGTCTTGAGGTCCCCAACTCAGTTTTGAAGGGCGTGTTGGGGGAGGATCTGGGGAGTGGATAATTCTGGGATTGGATGGACAATACCATAAATTGTGCAACCCCTGGACGCTTGTGCATGCACCGTGCTATACTCCCATGGTTGAAGGCCTTCAAATTAAAGGACTGCTCTCTATCTTATCTCTATACTAAATTTGCCTGGTGAGTCTTTTTTTGTCTCTTGATCACAAGCCAGTCTCACTTTGTCAACACATAAGATTGCACATACACTTTCTTGCCACTATCATTTGCATGTGATAGGTTTTGTGTGGACAAAGTTAAACTGCATTAGCCTGCCAGTATCACTGCTCAAGAAAAGTGAGTGCAGGCACCTTACTAAACACCAAGGAGCTACTTTTCAAAGTTTTGGCCT